CTCAGCCAGGTAAAAAAAGGCCAGGCTGAGCAACAATTATTTCCTCGTGATCTGCATCAAATGATTTCCCTGGATAAAACTGATTTGTGTCTCACCTTAGTTAGCAACAGCAAATACAGGATGAAGGTATTAACCACTTATTACAGTCCCAAATGGTATAAAGTCTTGGCACCATTTAGGAGGACATGAACCAGCCTAAAGAATGTAAATTCTTTGGTAGAAATGGCCAAGCTTCCTGTCAAATCCTCCTGACACATCCATCTTCTATAGCTCCTCTCTCAGGTAAGAAAGGTTAAAGCTTCATCTCCTTTGGATTGTATGTTTACCAGATAACTAAAAAAAGACCACCACTATGAACAAAAGTTTGGCACTGCTGACTGTGCTTGGTTTGGGGAGACATTTTTTCCCCCCTGCAGAACGAGAGAGCGCACAATTACAAACCTTCCTGTTGCTTACATGAAATGTATGTTAATAAAGAGTGAAACATCTTAATAAACAGTGAAATATGTTAATTAAAATGAAATATATTAATAAAGAGTGAAGATAAAACCACAGTGACCCCCTCAATGCAGTTGCATTTCTATTCAAGCTTGGGCTTGGAAACTCAGTGATCTTGGAGGTCTAAGAAAACATTAACACTTTAAAGTGTCATTTGCACAACAGTTACAGTGAAACAACTGTGATGATAAAAACAGAACACACAATAACGTGTTCTGACAGCATTTACTGTGACTATTTATTCTCAGCCATGGCAGGGCCACAGCAGGGCAAGACAGACATATGGTAGATAGATATATATATATATATCCACCAAATGTATAAAGTATTTCACTAACAAAAATGAGTTTCATGTATTAAAGTATATTTAATGGACAGTATGTAGAGCAGATATTCTACAGCACATATCTAGCAGTGACCACAGAGCACTCTGTAGGCAGATTGTTTGAATACCCAAGGAAATCCCATCTGGGAATATCCATGTACATTTAAACCCAGCCCTAAAATGCATTAATCCTCTGCTGACAGCTGCTCTGTCTGGGGATACCTACACAGGAGCACAGGATTGAGGATGTTTTAAACCGGCTCCTACATGACCTGAGGAGTTTTCTCCCTTAGTCTTTAGTTCAGTGCAAATCTATCACACTAATACTTCTGAAAAAACCCTGAGTTTAATTATAATTCAGCATCTGTAGGGGGATTCATGGGCTAAAATGTCACCCCTTTCCTAGGGTTGATACAACAGCGTAATTTGGTGTTGTAACAAACTTTGATGTTCTTCTTTCCAAGGGATTAAGATTTTCAAGTTAAATTTACCTACACCTCACAGTTCATGCTTCCTGCACTTTATTTGTATTTAGGGGTATAAACATTGCACAGTTTTGCCAGTGAAAGACTCCTGCAAACCCTCGGGTTGCCCACCCTGCTGCCTCACAGGCACAGCACACACGGGTATTTCCAGAGGATGAACCTGCTTCCCACCCCTGCTGAGTAGAAGGAGCAGGGAAAGTTCTGCAGGGATGAAGAATCATTTCGGTTGCTGTGCATTCCACAGATGTTTTTTGTTACCACTCTGGAGGCTACAATACAATGAGGGTTAGACAGGATCCTGCAAGGGGAGTTGTACGCTCAGAGAAACAGCTTTAGAAACAATCCAGAAAGGGGGAATAAACTCTCCAACCAGTTTGGGGAGTTAAAGAGCTGACATTCCTTCATTCCAGCACTGGGTGCAGGAGGGAACTCTCCACCTAAATGCACACCCAGCAGTCTGAAAACCAGGTTATATTCACGAAACTAACGCATCCATTACATTTCTGGAATACACACTTAGATGCCAAATATTTCCATGGAGTTATTTGGATATGAGCAGGGGTCTTGTGAGGGTCTCTGGTTCCCCATTCCCCAAATTATCCTTTAGTGAATCTCTTCTCCTTGAAAATATCTGTCTGTGGACAGGTCAAGATGCACTTTTCTTATCAGCTCTGCTCAGACACCCTGTCTTTGCTCCCAAAACTAAGACATTTACTAGTAAGCAATAAACTGGGATAGGTAAATCCAGGGATTAGGCACCAGCTGGCACAGTATTACCAGTTACCAAGGCAGGGAGTCAGCACTATCTATTACAAGACTCCACTGATCTCTGACATAGGTACTAAGCACTATCTGGTACAAAATCAGGCATTATTCACTGATATGTTGATAACCACTATGTTGTTAAAGTCAAAAGATTTCCCCAACATCTTCCCCCACTGCTGCGCGAACTCCTTTTTAAAGAAACACAACTTGTTCTCTAACACATCCCAGAAAAAAAAGATGAGACAAAAAAAACCCACCCCCAGCCTTTTTCCTTTTCGACAAATATTCTGAAAGACACTTTGAATATTAAGTAACATTGGAGAAATAAATGTCATTATAATGTTGCCCACTCACCAGCTTTGAAGCTGAGCTCATCCTGCTCCTGGCCCTCGTAGTCGTAGAGCGCTCGCACTCTCACCTCCATGGCTGGAGAGGTGTCCTCATCGAAGGGATTGGTGTCTCCATTAGCATCAGTGGAAGAGAAGGGATTGTTGGATTCCTCATCAGACCAGTCTGTGGGGTAGCTTTGGTTCTTTTCGTAGCTGCTCACGCTGAAAGGCAGTTTTTAAATTAGTCTTTTCCGCTCGTAAAATAAGAGAGTAGAAATACCACTAAGATAGCAGCTCCCCTAATTGAGATTAAACTCCACTCTAAGGCTCAGTTTTGAAATTTTCTTTCTGGTCCCTTTTAACTGATAATGCCTCATTAAAAAAAACCTAAAAAACAATAATCCCCCCCCTCGAAATTTTATAATACATTTACCGAAGTAGAAAAAAGCAAAACCAACACATATCAAAGACAACCTCCCCACAAACTCAAAAAGCTTCTCTATCAAGGAATCTACACAATCCATGGGACTATTTACTCTAGAAAGGTAAAACGGCAGTAGATGAGAGGAATTATCTACTTCAGGATAAGACATTTAAATAGCTTGGCAGAAGCTTCCTCCCAAACCTCTGTGCACCTGTACAACACTTTCTGCACGGTGCAATCCACCAACAAAGAAACTTGTGTTTCTATTATATTTTACTGCAACAAGTCTGTGATTTAAAGGAAAGTTCACTGCCCAGCATGCACATGCCATTCAAGAGAGGGCTATGTCCTTAGTGTGTAAATTGAAGCAACAGGCAGCTGCTTGAGGAGGTCCTAAACAAAAAAAAGAAAGCAACCTTAAAAGCAGATTTACTCAGCAAGAAGACACAGGAGTAAAGCCCCAGAAGCAGTTTCACTAGAAAAACACACCAGTTTTGAAATTTGATAGGAGGGGTAAAGGAAGGGGAAAAAAAAGCAGCAGCAGTTCTGTTAGCAACTGCCAACAACCCCAGTGGTTTCAGACCAAAGGCCAAGGCAACAGATGTGGCATCTGTTAGGAAAGACAAGTTAGGTCACAGTGTTGCTCACACAACTGCTTGAAAACACTTCATGCACTGACCAGCAGAGTGTTATAGAAACCAAAAATGGGAAACCCTGGACAGAGAAAGTGCAAAATGTGAAAACGATTTAAAAAAAAAAAAACAAAAAGCAAACAACATTTCACCAACTTTTTGATCTTATTGTCCTCCTTTTCACTGACAGTACTCCCAGTATCTTCTTCATCTTCAAAGGGATTGTAACTTGATTGTACTGACTGCACTGTGTTACTCTGGACACTAAGACTGCTAATTTGGAAAAGAAAAAGCATTATGGTGACCCTATCTGTGGAAGAGGAGAACACTGTCATTGGTGTCCCATTAGGCAGTTTCTTAGCAGACCCCTCCTTCAGCCAAATTAAAAAAAAAGAAAAAAAGAAAAAAAATAATAATAATAAAAAGAAAAATATAAACAAAACCCCAAACATCCATCAAGTGCAGCACAAAACCCAAAAAAGCCTGGAAAGTCTCACATTCCTCCACGATTAGAAATATCCTTCGTGGATCATAATTTCCTTTTCCTACTGCCTGCAATAAAAGGCAGTGCAATTTTTCTAGCAAGTCTTATTCCTTTTTTAAGCAGCTGATGTTAAAAGAGTTTTATATTCATCACATCCAGAATTCTGAAGTGACTGTTCTGCAAGCAAAGATTTCACAGTATGGTTGTCTTTTCTAGAGGCTGGGAAGATAAATAGCAGGAGACTACCAGGTCAGCTACAGAAAGTTCACTTTCTCCTGAAGCCTGGCTGCCTTCAATTCCCAGTGGAAAGAGAACTATGGAACGGAGAATAATTCCCAAATTAACTTGTGAACTGCAGAGACATCACTAAAAACGCTCACAGATAATTGCCATTTGACTGAACAGCGACTTTTTGATTCTGTAGGGTTTAGTGCAGATAACAACCTTTGGCAATGAGTCTTTTTAGGCATGAAAAAAACTACCTGCTGTGTTTGTTAGGTTGTGAAACTTGGTCTCCTGTCTGATTTATACCAGTTAAAGTCACCCCATCAGAAGCTTTCTTCTTTTCTCTTCTGCTGAGGGTCCGGTTCAGATCTGCAGACCACTCCTGTCAAGGAATGCAAAACATGCTGGAGACATTCAATTGAACAGAGTAATAATCACATTTAAATTTCAAACTGAGTTATGGAACAGACATCTATCCACACAGCAATAATTATTAAATGTTTCAGTTGGAGAAATCAAAAGAGCTGGCCAGTGCAGCTCCTAAAAAAGATGCCCTGGGAGGGCTCACAGTGCCAGGGCATTTGGCTTTAAAAGGTAAAGCTCACATTTAATTTAAAAAGGTGTTATAAGACAGGGCTTACTTCTCAAGAAGTGCTCCCAGAATGACCTGATTTTTAATCTCACTGTTTATCATTTCTCCTGTCCCTAAGATTTGAGCCACAAGGTCCTTCACTGTGGATTTAGTGACAGTTATTGCCCTAAAAAACCACCTCTGAGAGTTGAGGCTCAAATCAACAAGTGACAAGACTCAGGACGCCACTTGCAGCCCCTCCTTGATGTTCTGAGCCATTCAGAGGCAGAGGGACAGGCAGGATGAGACCTAAACACAACTCCTACAACGTCAGGGCAGACCAAGATGGATATAATGACATAAAACACAAAACAAACTGGATGCAAGCAAGAAAAAAAAAAAGAATTGTATTTTTAACAGGAAATTAAAGTTTTGAGGGTTGTTATTACTACTGGGCTTACACATGCAGCAAAGTCAGCCCAGTATCAAGTGCTTTCTGGCCAACCCTTCAGAGATACCTTGTCATTTTAACTTTGCAAAATACACAATGGATTTCTGAGTTACCACAGTTTAACCACTGACCTATGCACACTTGCAGTTTACAATGCAATTTCACAGGCATTTGATCATGACTTTTTTACTTACGTCATCCTTGTAGCATGTAAATGAGAAAAAACTTGATTAGGAGGACAGTAACCAGAGGGTTTCATTGGTACTTTATAATGCTTGAGAGAAAGGATGGCAATTTCCCCTCACAGAATTAATTCTAGTTCAGCATTTCAGGTAAATTCTGCAGTATTATTATGAGTTTCTTCCTCAAACCTTCTAAAGTTGTTAAATAATTTAATGTGATATCTTCCATTATTGTTAATAAGGGGATAGTGAAACAGCTAATTCTTCCACTCCATTAACTTAACGTCTACAAATTATTTCAACTGAACCCATGATTGTGGTCAAACTCATTCCCAATCCAGCTATTTGATACCCCAGTACTACAGTTCTGCACTGCCACATGTTTGTCAAAAGAACACTGCTCAGAACAACCCATTTCTTTTGAAGATGGCACTGAGCAATTAAAATTAAAGGTAGAACTTTTTTTTTTTTTTTAAGCATGGTAGTGTTGATTTTTACATACTAATTTTCAAATTTTAAAGTATTTAGTTCAGACTTTTTCTGAGTCTTTGCTGCACTCACTCTTAATTATCTATTAACAGCAAGGAGATTCAAATTCAAGTCTGACACCAAAGGGAGAGGTAAAACATAAAGGGTAACACATGCAGGTGTCAGAGATGTGTCAATTAAAGGATGGCTAATGACTTTATCTTAAAAAAACATCACTACAGTTTTCTGGGTTACCCTTTTTCTCTTTAAATAGGTCCGCAACATAATCCCCTCCAGCAGTTGGGGCATGGAAGAAAACTTGAAAATTAAGAGAAGAAAACTACTCTGACTTGCAGAAACAAAAAGTTCAGCGTTGGAAGCCTCAAGAAAGGAACATTACAAAAAGCAAAAGAGGCAAAAGCAGGGAAAACAATTCTGGGTTTTAGGTACTCTGAGCTTACCTCAAACTGAGGCCAATTCATGGACATCCCTGGACCTTGGTTGGCTCTGAACCACCTCAAGTCTTCAACAGCATCTGCTGTTTTGATGTTCTGTTCCAGCTCTCGGTAAATATTTTTGTAACTGCAAAACAAATTTGTCTTTGAATTCAGTATAACATTTAGAAACATGGCAAAGCCACTAGTCAGTTTTGTTTGAGGTTTTTTTTTTTATATTTCGAAATTCACAATAGTATTGAAAAAGAACAACTTACAGCAAGACAGACTTTTTTACAGCCTGACAGATCTATTAACTGCCTGTAAAAAAAGGAAGAGCAGTCCAACAGGTGAACCTGCTGAAAGTTCACAAACCCACAACATCCTTATTTGCCAGACTTTAGAATGATGACTCCTGCGTAAAGTAATTTACCAGGCTGGCAGTAAAAGCAGGATGTACATAGGACTGTACTGAAACTACTGAACACCAACCTTGAGGCTGCCTGAATTTCAAAGCCTGCCTACAGCAGAAACTGCTTTTGTGCTAAATCCGTGGGACTCTGGACTGAGACAGGAGTTTTCAGGAGGAGAATTTGTCTCACAAAGTTTTACCTTGCAACGTTGGACAAGTCAAGGTGCTTCTGGACCTCCAGTAACACTTCCCGGAAGAAACGCAACCGTTTCTCCTCGAACTGCTGGCACTGCTCAAACACCTGCTCCATGTTCTCCATGTACTGAGGAGTGGCATTATCTAATTCTTTCAGGGATTTCTCATACTTTTCTTTTGTCTGGGGGGTAGAAAACCAAACTGTTAGCAGTGTATTTTATTGCTGTCTTAGACTTATCCATGTAGTAGTGGCCAAGATCTGGAGCAGAAGTTCCCAAGCTGCAATCTGTTCTCGTGACCACTGGATATCAGGTCATGGTGAGAGTTATCTGAATAAACTGCAAAACAGTTACAATAAAGCTCTAAAAGCCTCTTCTCTGGCTTTTTAACAGGCCATGACAAATGCTGGTGTAACACTAAAGGAAAGGGTAAATCAGAGCAGGCAGTCAAGTTATTGAAGTTCTTTATCTTTAAAAGTGTTTTCTTTCCTCCTTTAGTAATTTACAGTCCAACTGCGAGTTGTGACCAAAACCCCAAACATTGTACCAACCCTTGGGAACATAAATTGCACATGCTGTGAGCTCAGTTAACAGACAGAACCTCAGACTCTGCACTAATTTACAGAAATAGTCCACACACAGGAATTAAAAGATGCCACCCCATGGAACATCAGCCTTCCAGACCACAGCACTGCACTCTCAGAGGCAGAAGACACCTTTGAGGGAAGTCCCACTGGAAAAGCCTCTTGGTGGCAGCCCACCAAAGAGCTAAACCGAACTGGGCAACACAACAGCATTCATTTACACAGATTATATCTATTACATCTATCTAAGTAAGCTTACTTCATTAAAAAAATGCATTTGCACTCAGTAGGGGAAAAAAGAAGGAGAAGAAAAAAAAAAAGCTTAAATATGCACAAGCTGTGGGTTAAAAGAAGTATGTCAGCACACGGGATACCTTTAGCACATCTTGTTTGCTTCTCTCCACTTTGTCCTGCAGCTTCTTCAGCTGCTCAGGATTCAGGGCTGGGTCAGCTTTGCTGTTGGTTTCCCTGGATATGGCCAGTTTCTCCTCCTTGCAGGCTGCATGGTAGGCCTTCTTTGCAGCTTCCACCTACAAAAAGCAGAGTTGAGTATTTGCAGCTGGGACAGCAGACAGCAAACATCAACTGTTTTTCAGCCTTAAATTCATGATGCAATGAGGGAAGTGTCAGGTTTTGTTTCAGGATGTTCTTTCTTTCTTGGGAAGGGGGGGGATTTCTTTTTTCATTCAGGCCAAGGAATCAACACAATGGAAATTATTGCAGCATTCTCTCAGCACACAAGAAATGTCACTCATACAGCTTTAGAGAAGGGTTGAACAGACTCACAAAAGGTTTACAGAAAGTCCCCAACTGTATATTTTTCCTCATGCCCACATCCTCCTGCTCCCCTTCTTCTACAAAGCTGTTATTTAAGGATAATGTTACATGACAAGGAAAAAAAAAAAAAAAACACCCCAAAAATACAAATATATTTCCCCTTCTCATTCCTTTGAGCAATCCACAACTTTCAAATGCAGGAAATCAGACACTATTTAAGTGATAGCTTAAATCTCATTTTTTTCCCCAGATTTTTGTTGAAGTTACCAAGATTAGGAGAGACCAAGAGAAAAATGCTTATTTTCAGAAGAGGACAGAAAGCAAGAGATCTTTTTGAGAAAGGAGGGTCCAGCAGAGAGAACAGGGAGTTTACTCCCTTATGGAGATCCGAGACATTAGTATATTATAACACAGCATATCTAACACATAATCTACTGCTGTACCTCTTTCAGCTTTTTTGCCCAGGGTTTCTGAGCTTTCCTAAATCCATCTTCTGCTTCTTTGGTTTCCTTAAATCCTCCCATCATTTGCTTATGAAAGGCTTCCTTCTGCCAGTTCTTGATTTTTTCAAAATCTTCATTCATCAGTGAACCTTTTACTTCTAGATGCAGTTCACTCACTTTTTCAGCTTCTGACATAAAAGCACACCAAGCCCTTTCTACTGTTCCATACTGTGGGCCTAAACACAACAGAAAGTGTCATTTCTCAGTAACCACCACCCACATGGAACTTATATTCCCGAGAAACTACCTCCAACTATTCACTTACATTCCCTTCTAAACAGCAATATTGATGCAAACCTAGGAAAGGCAATAGGGTTTTATCCACAGGAATTTAGAATATTTCAAAATTTACGCCAGAAAATCGAATATTCATTCAGTCTGGAGCCCTTCTCAATTCTCAGTATTCCACTTCTGGACTGCCTTCCCTTTCTCAACATGCTTTTTGAAGTCCAGATAAACATGAAAGGACAAACTATGGCAGAATACATTCAAATGGTCTATCAGCTTAGCCTTATTAGAGTCTTTTCCCCACAACCACTGGCCCCTTATTATTCAGAATCCCTTTTCAAACTGTGTTCTCTACCATTAGTTATCTAAAAACAGTTAAGTTTTCTAAAACACACCTCAGTACTGGAGGCAAGATTCATCTGCTTCAGTAAGGAACAAGCAAACTTGCAAAATAGCAGGGGTTTGGTCGGTTTTTTATCAAGAAAAACTTGGTCATTTGTCACATTACTGAGCCCCTTGCAAGGACTCCATAACAGGCTAAGAAGTGCAACATTTGTACTTACCAAAACAAAGACATACAGAAATTTTTTATTTTTTTTTCCCCTGGGGGAAAGCTTTCAGAGCTCAGAATCAGAAGGGATTACCTTTTTCCACGAGTTGTTTCCACCTTTTAGCCCATTCTGTGAGCTGCTGAGCATAGACCTTCTCTATCCGGGCCCGTTCATGGATACAATTCATGAGGTCGTTGCAGAGTCTGTGACCATCGTCAATCCTTTTCACTGTCCTCTTGTAATTCCCAACCTGCAAAGGGACAAACACTCAGTGTCTGCTTCTCTGAAAAGAAGAGAAATCTCTAATTATCACAACTACTGTTTGATAAGAGTAAGACAGTCCAGCAGGAATTAATCAATTATGGCATAAATATCATAAACCCAAACTGCAACAATACAAGAAAAGCCACAAGTTCTTCTGTAAAAGGACAAAAATAGGTTAATTTTAAAATTGAAAATTTTAAAAGGTGAAAGTTTTGTTATATTTTTATCAGTCCTACAAAGTAGGGGGATACAGAATGAAGATATGGAGAAAAATGCACACTATACAATGAGCATCCATTTATATATATAATTAACACTCTCATTCTTGTGCACAATGGGATAACTAATCTAGGTGACTGAAGGGGAAAAAGAAAAGCCTTATACTTCTCCCAGAGTAATATTTCCACTGAATTCAAGGTCACTCACGTTGGTTTCTGTAAACATTAAACAAGACCTAAGAACTCTGTTAGCAGAGCTTGCTCAGCCCGTTAAATGTCACAGCCAGTTTCTTATCTGCCCCAACCACCTGACTGCAGAATAAAGATTAGCAGTAAATGAAACATTCAGATACTCAAGGCATGTCAGTCATTTTTACATTTGAATCATATCTGCTCCACATCTGACACACAGAAGAACATCCAGCTTTTAGGCTGACATTTATTCAGGATTTTGTCAGCAGTGGTACATTCTGATGAAAATGGTATATAGGGAAATAATCTTAAAATGAACAAAAATTCTTTATTAAATGCTGGAAAAAAAAAAGTGACGGTACTGATTATTACTGATAAATACAAATATATGTTGGGACTCCTCATTAAAGCTGGGGAGAAAAATAAAATCACACCTATCAATGAGAGGACAAACCCAACTCTTTCAGACAGTGGCCTCAGGGAATTCCTTTGAGCGTGTTTTTTGGGTTGGACTGGATCCATTTCAACAGGTCAAGGAAGTTTAGGCAGTCACTGATTTGTGTAAATCCTGTCAAGAACTGCACACAATAGTGGAAGACAAGAAAGTCCCAGCACCATAAAAGCAGCTGACACCAAGAATCAAGATGGTCAATGGATCATGCCAACAGATTGCACTATTAACGAGAAAGTGTGAAAAAAAAACTCAGATTTTTCAGGAGAAATAAAAAGCTGAGAACAGGCAGTTTCAAACACTGTTCCCTAACAAAGACAATATTCATATGTAATCAAAGCGTTAAGGAAATGAAGAAGAGGAACCCCAGGCCTGCAATGCCAGAAAATAACCTACTATTGCAAAAAAAGCCTTTTACACCAATATTTGCCCTCAGGGGAATGCTGGAATTTAGGAGATAAGGCATTTTTCCCGTGTCCCATGACAGAGAACATAAGTTATGTAAGTTGGCATGTAACACAAGGTCTTTAAGTCACAGTAAAAGGCAAAGGATTCCAGTCTTCACATGGCCAAGGAACTACTGGGTTAATTGCAGATGAGTTCAAACAATTAAATTAAAAACCTACGAACACATTAAAGACAGGCTGAATCAGAGGGACAATACATTGTTTTGTTCCAGACTATTTTCTCCAGTTTCTGAGGTAGAAGGCAAACATTCTGCAAGATTTCCCCCTTCCCCTTCACGGGAAGTATTTGAGCAAAAGCAGAAATGACAAATTCTTTTATTTGCAGCAACTGACCAGGAACAAAACCACACAAAGCAACCTTGTGTTTCTTTGTTTCTGTCACAGCAACACTTACATAACTTTCAGATGCCTTGCAATTCTCAGATTTCTCAGTTAGCCCTGATCAATACATGAAAATACGTGATTTTGCTGGTTAGAATAATTTTTGCTACCTGGAATAATCTTCTGACCATTCTGACCATTGGGCTATTTCCAGCTGAACAGACAGCAGACACCAAAAACTTGAGGTCCCCTTGTCCTACCAACAGGACATTTGTTTCAGGAAGGTAAACTGCAAGATTATAAAGTTTCTTCTTTCCAGAAGAAAAAGAAATGCTTAAAAAACGAGATCCCCCTTTCATTTTAGCACCAACACTAAATCCATCTGAAAGGGAGAGTTAATTACAGGATACCAAACTCAGCTGCTCTTTACCCTTAGTTGTCAGAAACATTTCAAAAGGAAATAACCCCAAGAGTTTCTTGCTTAAAAATACCACTGCAAGGGTCACTTTTTTTGACAGAGTCAGTGAGTCACTGAATCCTGTGAAAATTGTGATTCATAGCTTTGTGTCTCTCCCCACCTTTCCTAAGCTGAATTCACCAGTTTCTGCTTTTCCAAAATCCTGAGCTTTGCTACTAATAAGCCTCAGTTGTTCCTGTAGCCAAGCACTGTCACTGATAGGATCTTCAGTGGGAATATTTAAGAGTTTACAACCTCATTTTACAATTTCACAGCACTCAACACAAAGGGAGAGCCTTAAATTATTTAGGCTCCTTTACCTCAACTAATGGACTCTTTTTCTTTTTAAAGGCACTGTCAGAGAGCAGCATAAAAGCCTGCACGGAGTTAAAACACACTCTGCAGGTTTTTCTGGTACACTGAATGAAAAAAAAAAAAAAAAAAGAGTTTTTTTTCATTTATTGGCAGCCCAGAAAGTCTCAAATGTTCAGCTACTGCTACACTCCTGGTAGTTAATTCTAGCATATCATGATAATTGTTATAACCACAAATATTTCAGGAGTTTCAAGTGCCTGAAGAAAGATTTGATGTCAGCTCCTTTTTTCCCCTTACTCATGGCAAGTTGGCCTTTATGAACTGGAATAATTTGAAAGATATTCAGTCACCACAGGGCAAACCAAGGGTATTTTTAGGGGCAAATACTCATAGGCAGGAAAAAGAATAATAAGCTTTGAGGGTTCACAGCCAAGCCCACGCACACTGATGGCCAAACACTATTTCCAGCATTCCAGTTAAACCGGGAGTAAAATTTCTTTCCAGCTGCGTCAAAGGGGAAGTTTCCAAACATTTCAACCAACATCTATAGCGCTGTTGTGGTTTTTAGGAATAAAAACAATTATCTTGCTGCATAATTAGCACAGGCACAGCCCCAGTACCTGCGAGTACCAGCTCTGAGTAAGTTTTGCAAGTTTACCCTCATAAATTTACAAGAAAAATCCCGAGGAAGCTCTTAAACCCACAAAATCTCCAGCCAAATACACCAGCAAGCAAATACCTGGCAATGGAAATGGAAAACATTCTGTTGCTGAGTGTCAGGGGGAGATTAAAAAATGCATATGTGAAAGGAATCTACTATTGCAGAGCCCAAATATTTTTAAAATGGAAAAAAAAAAAAAAAAGGAAAACAAGAGCAGTCTGCTCCATCAGCAAAAAGCACTCATTGACAAGGAACCGAAGGCCCTCAACACAGGAGAACTTTTTCAATATATAGGAGTGAGTTTGGGGGGAATTTCTCCCTCAGCCTCCCTGCATCCAACAGTTGTCTCACACATATCCTGGCTGGCAGCAGCAGGAGTGAAGCGCAGGACATCAAACTGGCCTCACCCACATAAATATGGGATCAGCTCCCACTTTCTGAAGCTGAAAACCTTGTAGTGCTGCTGCATTCCCAGCAAACACTTCAGAATGTGTTCAGCACTTGGAACTGCCCAGCAGGCCCCGTCCTCCAAGGGAATCCCTGCCAGGGCTGAAAGGATCCCGGGTTTAGCAGCTGCTCAGTGGCTGTTTCTGGGTGGGTGAGGAGCTGTTTCCACAGGGCAGCCAAACAGCCCTGCAGCAAATGGGGCTCCCTACAGCTGATGCAGCAGCAAGGAAGGGAGATAAGAATGCACATCCAGGGTGGAAAGTAAATTTTAGGATGTATTTTGTGAACTATTAACATCCCAAATTCTTTCACCTGCATTTCAAAACTGCTTCAAGGCCAATAGGTTTTTCCCACTGCTTGTGTTTCTCTAAATCCATTTGATTTCACATCACAGGTGAGAGAGGAATGCAAAGGGTTTCAAACTGCACATGGGGGTTCCAAATTTTCCACTCCCCCTTGGAACACTTAGTGCCACCCTGCTTCAGGGTACCAGCAATAACCCTCTGATTAGCCCAAGCACATCACCCCTGTCAGGCAAGTAACACAGAAGCAGGAATTCCTGCTTGGAGCCCATCAACAGGATCCCTCATCTGCAGAATTTCAGCACCCAGAGAGTTATGAGCTTAACCAGACACGTCAAGGTACACTGAGGCTTGACAGGCAAATATTAAGGGAGAGAAGTTTCCATTTCTTAAGTAAATTAAGACATCAATACAACTGAAACTTTGATGAAATCCTCCACTTTTATTGTGGGAATTACCTTTCAAAAAGTCTTTACCTATTATTTTGCAATTCCCAGCTCTCTAAGAAACCTTCATCAAAACTTGTACGGAATTCTCTGACTCCTAAAGTACTTTTAGTTAGTGAATACCTGGACAAATCAGAGGAAAAGAAAAGGATTTGTTCCCCTGGAAAGGATTTATTATCCTGATAGAAGACAGAAAACCTTTAAGTAGTAACTTGGGGTAACCAAATATGAAAATAAACCCCCTTCAATTTAATTGTTCAGCATGACATAGAAATAGCAGCAGCTTTCACAAACGTGTATAATTCTCAAAGCCTGTTTTTTTTCCAGTCCTATCAGCTGTTCTGATACAAGATACCACCTCTGCCCAATCCTTGTCCTCCCAACATTTTTTGACAGCTAGATCTGAGCCATCAGCAAGAACACAAATCTAAACAGCAACTTCTCCAGCTCCCTTTCAACAGGACAACTATTTCCCAACCAACATCTATGTTGTAATAAAAAATATTAACCTTTAGGGGAAACAAGTTACTATTTGTATTGGACTCCAAGCACTGAGCTTAACTCTCAGTGACAGTTCCCAAAGAAACCAAAGCCTTCTGGAGCCAGAAAAAGCAACGGAGGACCAAGTGGTTTATTTCTAAAAGACAATGGCATGGGAAATTTCTGTCACCAGCAGGGACAAAAGCTGGGTTATCAACATTTTATTAAGTACAGTTCTCATCAGATCAATAGAACATCAATTTTCAAGAACTAAAAGTGGTTTTAGTTTCAAAAGATATGCACTGAGCAGAGTTGTCACAGTGAGTTCTTCAGATGGGTCCCACACCCAGCCACCTCACTCTTTCCTAAATGCCTTTCAAGAAAAAGATGGGCTTTGCAGCACACTCCAAAGGTAAATAAATCCGAGCTATTTTGGAGCCTGAGGGAACAAATCAAAAGCTCAGCCTGCCAGGCTGCCTCTTCTGTGCCACGGCCACGTTTAAACACACCCCCTGCTTTCAGCTGTGGCACTGAAACACAGCAAGGTGGCTTTTAACAAACTGCAAGCTGACTCTGAAAACAGAGAAAAAAACCTCTGGTGTCAAATATCTTAAAAAAAACCTCCAGCAAAAGAGTGTAAATGACAGGCTGTGGTAACAAAACAACTTCCCAATTGATTAAGAGTTCTCTGCTGCTTGTGACCCGAGGCATGAAGGGCTCAGCTGGCATTCCAGAGGCACCACATCCTTTCTAATCAACTCAAAAAAGCCACACTGATCAGAGCTGTTTAGTTGTCCCTTTCCAGAAAGATTTAGACCTTAATTCAAAGTTGCAACCTTCAGAAACAAAACAACCAACTCAGAAAGTGTGGAAAAAGGACAGGTTTTAGACTAAAATTCAGCCAAATATAATTTGGAAAGATGACTCCAAACCAGAAGCATCACAGAATCAGGGAATGGTTTGGGTTGGAAGGCACCTGAATGATCATATAGTTCCAATGCCCTGCCATGGGCAGGGACACCTTCCACTGTCCCAGGTTGCTCAGAGCCCCATCCAACCTGGCCTTGGACACTTCCAGGGATGGGGCAGCCACAGCTTCTCTGCCCAACCTGTGCCAGGGCCCCACCACCCTCATAGGGAAGAATTTCTTCCCAATATCCAATCTAAACTTTCTCTCTGTCAGTTTGAAGGCATTCCCCATGTCCTGTCACTCCAGACCCTTGGAAATAGTCTCTCTCCATTTTCCTTGTGGGTTTCCTTGATGTCCTGGAAAGCCACAACTAGGTCACCCCAAAGCCTTCCCTTCTCCAGGCTGACCAATCCCAACTCTCTCAGCCTTTCCTCCCAGCAGAGCTGCTCCATCCCTCTGATCATCTTGGTGTCCCTCCTCTGGCCTCTCTCCAGCAGCTCCACGTCCTTGCTGTGCTGGGATCCCAGAGCTGGAGGCAGCTCTGCAGGGGGGGGGCAGAGGAGGCATAAATTACATTTAAGTAACCCTTCATGAAGGTCCTAATTTAAGCTAATTGCTATTTCTGATCACCCTTTACTGGATTTAATTTCCATTTGTCCAAACATCATCATACAGAATTTGCAGGATCCCCACTCTCCTTCACTCAGCTTTTACGCTTCCAGACACGATAATTTGGGAGATACCAGCTTGGTACAGAACAGTCAGCCAGAAGTCACGTTCTCCTGCCAAGTATCCAGTGCCCAACACTCACCACAAAAAAACCCCCTTTGGTCCAGGATTCTTTTTTCCTGATTGCATCCTTATTTTATTTTGAAGTATTTCTTCCAAGAAAGCTGCTCAGGAAGCTGCCTCAGCAATGGCTGAAGTTTGTCCTACTAAATACAGCCCATCAGGACAGCACTTACCTCCAACTCTCAGTATTGACACTGACAAACCCTTCTTTTTCCTGTAAGAAAAACACTTTTTTTCTTTTTTTTTTGTAAAGGGCTTTTTCTGCTTTATGAAGTTTCCCTTCTTTAAAGCTTAAATTGTCATAACACCTGAAGGGCTTTGTCAGATTGGGACAGCACGAATTACTGATATTACAGAGTATTTTATACTATTTGTTGATGCTTTTACATTGGCAAAGGTTCAGTTCTGAATTGCACATCCTACCCAAAGGGATGATCCTCAAGTTCTGTGCCCATTAAAAACCCTTGACAGAACCAGGTCAAAAACCTAAAAGGTAATTTCCACCTATTTCTGCAGATCACAGTAACTGAAGGTGTCTCGTGTTGCAGCTCTCTCCACGGTTTGCAGTGCACAAAAATCCCGTTTTCTACAATCAGAGTGACAAATAAAATCAGGATATTGTATGAAACACCTGGATTACCTCCCAGAAGCTGTCACTAGAAACTTCTACTCCAACGGAATCATCGTATGAGCCAGACATTTCTAGGTATGAAGATCTTGTGAGTGTTCAGAGCTCAAGCACCTTCAGAACCTGTAAAAAAGGTTAAAAAACCATTAATGAAAAGCAGTTCTGAAGTTGTGAAAAGAGGAATCATGCCCTTTTCCACTGGAAATCTGTGTCACAGGATGAAAACCTCTAGAAATGTTTAAGGCCAGAACCACCTGTGTCCCATTTGTGCCGTGTTACCACACCAGGCCATGGGTTTATTTTTAGCAAAAGGAACAAAACCAGAAAAACAATCAGCTCCAAATTCTGATCTTTATTAAAAATAAGTCATTACTGTAATAATTCGGGCATTCTCACTTTTACAGACACAGCTGCAAGGAAGAAAGGTATGATTTATCCTCGTGGCTGTTTATAAATCACTGTGTATTAAAAAAAATAAATTAGGGTTACCCCAAGCTGACATTTAAGATGACGTTTAAGATAAATACCAAAACCCGGTATTGAGAGAAAGAAAGGCAACAGAACGCACGCAAACCCCTGTTTAACCTCCACAGATGCTTCAAGTTTAGACTGCTCTGAAAAAATATTTATTTGATACGTAATTTTACATTTATTTATTTTATATTTATTTATACATTTTATCTTTATTGAGAAAACATATATATATTTATTCTCTCTCTATATATATATATCTAATTGCCTATAACCACTACAGGGCTACATATGGGTAAACAGATTTTACTCCACCCCTTGAATACCTTTAATTCAGTTTTTCATCCAATTCATTGACATAATGCCACTCTCAAAAAGCTTAAACAACCTTGAATCTGAATACATAAAAACCACTACAGGAACATCAACTGTTAGATTTTTATTTTTAAAAGACAACAACAAAAAAAAAATATATATATATATATAAGAAAGATTCTGCAAAATGGCAAATTAGATCATAACGAGGCAAATTATCTTTGCATGTTGGTTGGTGCAACAACCCCCAAATTATGTTATTAGTAATTACAAAAAAACCAAAACAACAGCTTTTCCACCTGTGCTTTTACTGAACCAAGGGGGAAAAGTTAAAACACTCCTCAATTTTGAGTCTCTAAGCACCACACCTTCACACGGAATGCGTTTTGCCCCTTGCAGTTTTCGCAGCACAGCAGGGTAAGCAAAGCTCACATTTGCAAGCGGGTTTATATATATTTTTTTTTTTTTTCACATCCTTTCTCAGACAGATATAAGCAGCCCAGGGAGGAAACAAAAGTGCAATAAAGTTGCAAGTTGTTGGACAAATTCCTAAGGGCGGTTTAAAATGAAACAGCTTTTTCTAGGAGTCTGCTGTGCAGTGGTCTCTGGTATTACTGTATAATATACAAATATATTATACATATTCTATATTATAAATAACAATATATATATTAGATATTGTAATGATATTATTATTTTAAAAGAGTTGTTTAAAGACACTCTCTGAAACCAGAGAATTCCCAGGAATGCCACGCAGAACAAGGGAAGGAACAAGATTCCAAAGGTTGTCAGAATCCCCAAAAGGAAAGAGAGTGAAACTGTTCTAAAGGAATAATCCAATGTCCACTTACCTTTAACCAAAACCAGCCCAAATTACAGCAGTGCTGGAAATTTCATCTGAGAAGTTACATGGAAAAAAGCTCCAAAACTGAGCCTTCCTTAAACGAGGGAACAGGTTGTGGGGAGTGGGGTTTTTTTCCTCTTAAAAAAACCCCCAAACCCTTTTATTCCTCCTAAACTAAAACTACGCAACACAGACTTCTCCCTTTTTTCCATAAAAGCATGAAAATGATCAGCCCTCAGGAAATACTGATGGAATGAAAGGTTTTTGGAGGCCAAATGCTACGCTGTGAGAAAGTATGAGCAAGCGTATTTAGGGAAATATTGTGAAGTCATGGCAACAGCTGGCACAGGAAAAAAAAAAAAAAAAAAAGAAACACACACTATTTGTACAGCCCTACTTAAAAATAAATTGAATTCTGAGATAGGAACATGGAGCGGGGTGAGTCATGAAAGAGAATTATGACAGCAGCCAGGCCTTCAGCACATTTTTTTCTGTCAGGGTTTGGTCCTCCCCCTCCTTCAAGTGAATTTGCAGAGGTTTCACGAGGAAAGTTCATTAAATTTTTTTTTTTTTCCCGTAGGGTTTTTCCTTTCACCACAAGAAGTAAATCTATCAACAGCTACAGCTGTCACGTAAAATCTAGAAAATTTAGACCAAGCCAACAAGGAAGATTCTTCACAAATAAACATCACCTCCATCTCCAAAGGCTGGGGGGTTCTTTGCTCAGCTGGATTGCAGCAAGAAGGAAGAGAAGACTGAGGTGTAAATCTCATTTTCCTTAAAGGCAGATTAAAGATTTTCACTGGACACACACCCCCTCTGGATCCTTCTCAGGCAGGTAAAGCACCAAATATGAAGCAGCACAGAAAAAAGTCATAAAAGGTTCTAAAAGAAAGTCATCAAAGGTCCCAGCCCACATCAGCCACGAGAACTTATAGAGGTTAAAAATAAAACCATGAAGTCCAACAGTCAAAAATAAACTATACACTAAACAGCACACACTGTAACAGCCACAGAAATGGGGGTGGTTCTGGTTTTTCAGCGATTCTTGTAAATTAGGATGCATTGATCTTTGTGACTGAACAATAAAGAAATATGACTCTTTCTTAAAGCTTCCCTCTCAGGGAACATTCTGCCTCGAGACCTTGCCCTGCAGTGTGACAGGAATTGCTGTAAACATCCTGAAGGCTTAACACGGGAGGATTTGGGGAAATATTAACTAAGAATGAGCAGGCAGAGCTTCAGATCCCACACACACAGAACCAGCTGAACAGAATAAGCTGCCTCTGCTCTCAAGAAGTTGAGTTGGGGGTTGTTACCTCGACAGCAAGTTGCAAAATTCCTTGCTTTGCTTTTTTGAAATACTTATTTATTATTTTTATTATGCCAAGTGGCAGAGATCAGCACAACACACAGCTTGCAAAAATCTGTGCAATAAATGCAGGCTTTTAGAAGATAAAATAAATCCAGGGAGTCCCAGTGTTTTCAAAGAGGAAGAGGGGAAAGAGGGTTTAAAGAAATGCTTCAGTTAAACCCCCTCAAGCTTCCAAAGAGAGATCACTTTGATGAATTCTCACTGTGAAGCAGAGCCAGTCTCTAGAAGAGAAAAGCATCTGGTCCCATTAGCTTTGAGACTTATTTTTGGAATGACAGGGTTTGTCACTAGGGATGTGACTCATCAGGATCCCAAGTTTCATGACTGGGGAGTGAATTACCGATGTACAAGGACACAACTGCAATCAGCTGCTCATAAAAACCTTCAGCTACAGGATCCTCCCTTATTTTAGATATATATATATATATATATATATATATCCACTGAACTCTCAGGGTTTGTTCCATCCAGAGCAGGAAGGAAATGAGACTTCATGGCATAGGAATAAATACATCCCAAGCTTTCAGCGCACACTCCTGTGGTTTGCTACCAAGTGTCCCTACCATGAATATGCTGTACCTCAAATTCCCTGGCTAAATAAAAGCAATTTAGACTTTTATTTCCTTCTCTGTTCTCTCCATATATCAGACTTCCTTGGGGCTGCTGTTTACATATAAAATAAAAAAGTGTTAATTTCTTAACAATATTGTGACAACATGAACCCAAACCTGTGACAATCGCAGCGAGTGTGCACTGGAAACTCCAGAGATTCACAGGACAAGCAGCTACAGGAAGAAAGGTCAGTCGGGCTTACACATTCCAGTGACACCAAAGAATTCCAGCCCCTGGGTGCAGGGAACAAATGCATCAACCCACAATTAATCACACCAAGTGCTGAGAAGTCTCCTAACTGCAATTAGTGGACGTGACTGCATTTAATTAATAGAGGCCAGGCCGTGGATTTTCAAAGGTAGAGCCTCAAGTCAGTGATTTGGGCCAAATTCTTAGTTTTCAATCTATAAAGCAGGGAGAGCAGCACCCTCTGGCACAGGTATTTAACAAGATCCCTCAGTCTCCAGCAAGAGAACTACTACAGCAACAAATACCAGAGAAAAGGCCATAAAAGGAAATTAAATCATTATTTCCTGGGGAGTTCAGCCCGTCTGTTAATGGCTGTAACCACTGAAAGCAGCACTAATCCACTGCCCTAAATATACAAGCAATGAATACACCTTCAAGCCACAGTTTTAACACACCAGGTCACTAAAAAAGTTTAAATTCCATGGTATTTACCACAGGTAAAAAAAAACCCAAACACTCAACTACAGAGATAAGACAGTCTCTGAAATTAAACTCTGTATAAAATAAAAGGAATGGGAACAGTTAATTTTTTTGTAATTACAGTTTGAATATTTTATTAAATGAATAAAAACTTTAAATTATCAATTAATGTTGATGACAGAAGTGCAGCTCAGAGGTGAGACAATGACCCAAACTTTGCAAAAAGACTCCTACCCCGCACACTTTATTTCACATATATCCAAGTAAATATGACAGGACAAGTCATGAGCCACCATTTCTGTCTGGTTTGACACTGAAAGAAAATATAACTAAAATTTTTATCCTATGTGAGGCTTGTCAAGCAGAAATTATTATTATTATACTATTTTAATTGTGCAACTTTTGTTTTAACCAGGACTGTTATTAATCACCTTCAGAGGCTTTGCAGAGGTTTCTAATTTTAAGTTAAATAGACACTGACCACAGGAAATTATTAACACTGCAAAGCACAGGCTTTAAATAGCACAGATACACCAGCCAAGCTGATAAAGTGGAGTATGTGGAGCTTTAAAATACTTGCTTAAACTTAAATTATACCTTAATATATTCAGATTATACTTCCTGCTTACCTGGAGGTACGAGGCAGTAATCAGAATAAACCATGTGAGGAGAAGAAAATACACAGTTCTGGAGATAAAAACTGCACTCGCATTTCCTTTATAACACTCTGCCCCAACCTGGATTGGATTGGTAATTTTAAAACTTGTTTCTTTGGCTTTGGGTAAATTTTACCAGAAAACCACCTGAAGAGCTCAGGGCCATTTGTCAACTAAAGCA